GGGCACGAACCCGTGTCCCCTGCATCGGCAGGCGGGCTCTCAACCACTGCACCACCAGGGAAGCCCTTCAATATTTTTTGATAGTATGAAAGGGTCTTGAGACCAAAACATCTGAGGTCACTGTATTAGAATAATACTCTTGGATTCTTTCTTCTTGTGCCTTCACTCCTCCCTAGGTGACAAGAGTGACTTAATCAGAGAGTTTGGGAGAAGAACTGGGCAGGCGCGGCTCAGCCCTTTCCTCTCACTTTTCTTTTACGTGATCCTAACTTCTTACACTTAAGATTTGCCTGTCTGTAACAGAGCATGTGTTCTTAACAGTTTTTGGCCGGGGGTCAGCTTAGGGCCCGTGGCACTGTCCTGTGATGAGACATGAGTTGTCCCATCATGGCTTGTGATTCTGATTGGGTAAATCTATCTAATTCAGGGGTGGAGTTGGCAAATCTATCTAGTTCAGGCAGAATAAGCTATGCTTTCTCAGAAGAGCTTTATTTGTGATAAAGGAGACATTTAACTTTTAAAGAAGGTTTGATTTTTGAGAGATTTTAGACTTACAGGCAAGTTGCAAAAAATAGTACAGAGAGTTCCTAGATACCCTTTGTCCAGCTTCCCCTAATGTTAATGTTTTATGTAACTACAGGACAGAGATAGAAAGCAGGAGATCACAGTACACTACAATAAACTAACCCACAGACCTTTTTTGAATTTCATCAGTTTTCCCACCAGTCTTTTTCTGGTCCAGGATCCAATCCAGGATTTCACATTAAAAGTGACATTTTGATCTCCTGCTGCCCGGTTCCTGCATCTGTGTCTTAACCAGTTGTATATTCAGCTGAGAAAAAGCTGGGGGACGGGAGTTATTTATCAGTCAGCCTTGTCTCCCAGCACCTCCCAATGTTGAATCTTTCTAGAATTCTATGGTGTGAAGAGATGAGTTCTTGTCTTCTTCCCCATGTTCTCCACTGTGGTACTTCCTACCTTCTCCCTTTGACTCATTCAGTTGCCTCAAGTCCACATCTTTCCCAGCTTCCAGAACTTTGTTGCTAACTCTCTTCTGCTCTTGTCTGCCCTTGTATTTCCTGTGGTTTGCTTTTTCAGTGACTTACACTCTTGCCCTCAGTCTAAGGTCAGTTGCCAAGCCCCACCCGTGCTCTGAGAACTTGGGAGTTACTAAATCCTTATTCCTTTAATATTGTTATTATTGGTTGGGTTTTAGAAAGAAGCAGCGATAAATAATAGTTTTAATCTCCTTGTTTAATTAGAATCTGACCCTTGATATATAATCCCCAATTTGTACATTATTTTTGCTTTTCAATGGAAAACCTCATTTAAATACTTTTAATGACTCTTGTACTTAAATGAAGCCCTATAGTCACTTTTCAAGCAAAACCATGGCAAGATTAGGGAAAAATTGGGTAACTTTAAAACTAATTTTATGTATACCTATTGTTTGTAATCAAACACATGTAGGCCCCAATTAGAATGCTTTTTGTAGCTTACCTTGAATTTCTTAGCTTGGAATCAAAAGACCCATGCCCAGGGATGGGTCTTATCCTTTAGGCTTGGCTGGCATCATGGTGCCTGCAGCTACTCACTGCTCAGAGATCAACTGTAGGTCTCTCCTAGTCACCTCTTCCTTCAGTTTCTAAAAAGGAAGAATTGCTGGAAGGAACAAACACTATCTTATCTCTGGTTCCCAGTTCCCAACTTTTTCCTATCATTTTCTCACACTCAACTGAAAAGGAAGAGTGAGATTATGGCTATGTTATACTTTTCAATAAAGTATTTGGCTGTCCTTAATTACTTTTCCTTAAAAGTAATCAGGTTCTCTATGTTTACAGTATTTATAAGAAGAGTAAAACATTCTCTTCCTATCTCTTATATTAAAAATTTGCCTTGATACAGCTATTCCTTGTCTTTATACTTTTGCTTTTTATTTTAATTTACTATTTATTTATTATTGAGGTATAGTTTATTTACAACATTATATAAATTTCAGGTGTACAACATAGTGATTCACAATTTTTAAAGATTATATGCCATTTATAATTATTATAAAATATTGGCTCTCCCTGGGCTGTACAATATATCCTTGCAGCTTATTAATTTTATACATAGTGGTTTGTACCTCTTAATCCCATACACTTATCTTGACCCTCTCCTCTTCTTCCCTCTCCCCACTGGTAACTACTAGTTTGTTCTCTATATCTGTGAGTTTGCTTCTTTTTTGTTATATTCACTAGTTCGTTGTATTTTTAGATTCCACATGTAAGTGGTATCATACAGTATTTGTCTGTCTCTGTCTGACTTACTTCACCAGGCATAATACCCTCCAAGTTCATCTGTGTTGTTGCAAATGGCAAAATTTCAGTCTTTTTTATGGCTGAGTAGTATTCCATTGTGTATATATACTACATCTTCTTTATCCATTTGTCTGTTGCTGGACACTTAGGGTGCTTCCATATCTTGGCTATTGTAAATAATGCTGCTATGAACATTGGGGTGCATGTATTTTTATATTCATAAACAATGTGCTATATTATTTGTTGTATATTTAAAAGTTGCATCCATGACTTTCTCATAGGGTGGAAGGTGAGGGATGAGAATGTGGGTGGAGAAGGGAATGTAGGGGACAGTTTCCTTGACTGTGATGCTTTAGTTCTTAAAAGATTAAGATCTGGAGCACATATGACAAAATATTAATGTTAATTTTGAGGGGTGGAAATGGGTGTTTATGACATCATTGTTACTCTTTGGCATTTTAAAAATAATTTTTTCAAATTTATAACCATTTTTTTTTTAAGCTGGATGTAGCTTGATTTTACTGGGAATCACAGTGACTACCTGGTCTTCTGTCATCTGAGAATGGATCATCTTCCATAAGTGAAAGGATTGTATCCAACTGAAACTTAACTTTTAGGTGTAAATGTTATTTCCTAGGCTGCACCTACCTTGGTAAACCTTGGGACGGTAGAAACAATAATTACAAAGCAGTACTTCTATGTATCTGTTCTCACTTGGTCTGCAGAAATTTCAGCCCTCTCAAATTTGATAAAATGGTCTAGAGATCTCTAGGAAATGTCTGTGTCATAAAAACTTCAAAGTCATCTCCTGTCCTGTCTAGCTACAATAATGACTCCAGGTATGACAGATGTCTTACTCAGCTGTGTCACCAGTGTCCGCCCAAGGCACCAGAGCTGCCAGTGTTCTAGTTGCTTGGTGATTCTGGCAATGAGGGCACTGACCTCTGCACCCTTGAAATCTAGGTCATTGAATTGATCACCACCCCTGGCGACAAGGTGTACAGATCTCCTGCTACCAATACCTCGCCATCACCAGCTCTAGTGTGGCTGATGTTTCACAGTCTGAAGGTCCCATGGAGGCTTCAGAGAAGGAATTATTTTGGCTCTTCTTGGTGCAACCTGCAGTGGGTGTGGGCTGGAGGACAGTCTGAGCGACAGTCACCTGCTATGCTCTCATTCACTTCTCTCTTCCAAGCTTGGGCCATTGACTCTCTTATTAGAATGAGTTTTTTCCTGGGAAGAACCTTGATCATCATTCAAATAGACTCCTGGTGAGCCTGTCTCACTAGTCCCTGTGGAATGTCAGGATAGTAGAATAGATTCGAGGTGACACACCTTAGACTCAAACTGGGACTCTGTTACAGGTTCTAAAGCGTGTATATTTTTAAAAACGTGGTTAGGGCTTCCCTGGTGGCGCAGTGGTTTAGAGTCTGCCTGCCGATGCAGGGGACACAGGTTCATGCCCCGCTCTGGGAAGATCCCATGCCGCGGAGTGGCTGGGCCCATGAGCCATGGCCACTGAGCCTGCGCGTCCGGAGCCTGTGCTCCGCAACGGGAGAGGCCACAACAGTGAGTAGGCCCGTGTACCGCAAAAAAACAAACAAACAAACAAACAAACAAAAAACGTGCTTAAAAAGGGACCTTACCTAATATGGAATATTTACCATCCTGACTTTAGAAATTATTTTTATTATTCTAATGCAGGCAGCAGCAAAAAAAAAAGTCCTGGGTCTCTGAGAGTCATCTGTAAAATCAAAGCATAATAATGACTTTAGAATATATGCAAAACAGGACGCAGATATAAATATTGCTTAGGTCCAGAAGCAGTAAGTACAATACAAAACTGGCTCTATTAGCATGTCCAGAAGCTATTATGAGTTAAATTATTTAATATGTTATAAGAAAAAAACATGTCAATCAGAAAAGGAGGTAGATGATCAGTGATGGAAGTCCGCAAAGTCACGGAGGGAGATTTGTCATTACATCCCAGCTCCGCCCAAGAGAAGTTCTCCTGGCCAGTGGACTTCATCTGTCTGGGGACAGGGACAGCTTTTTTGAAATGATACAGCTGACAAGTCCCCACATTGAGCAATCAATCCCATTAAACGTCAGAACTTAAATCCAAGTACTGTTTATCTGATTCCGTGGTCACTAAGAGGGTACAACTCAAGGTCCCTTTGGCAGTTAAATTTCTTGTTTTAAAGACATAATTTGCATTTAGATTTATGTACTAGTCTTTTGCAGTCAAGGTTAATTTGAGTACATCCATTGAAGAACGATCTACTTACTTTCAGGTTGTGAAAAAAATCAACTAGTTGAGCTTGCAAAGTTGAGAAGAAGATTCTGGAGAACTACGAATTCACTGAAGTGCTAACATGAGGATTCTTGGTAGTAAACTCCCACCTTGGTAGCACCCTACCATGGCAGATAGCCTGCAACAAAAGCAATGCAATTACATTAGAATATTTAGAATACAGAAGAGACTCAGTCACTATTTCACCGATATTACAGTTTTGATGTTACTGTTAATTTTGGGTGTATTTACATGTAATCATTGTGTGTGTGTGTGTGTGTGTGTGTGTGTGTGTGTGTGTGCGTGTGTGTGTGTTGTATATATAATTTAGGTCCTGGAGGTTTTTTTTTTATTAAAATGGTAAGTTTTTATTTTTTTAAATTCTTTTTTTAATTTATTTTTTTGGAACTTTATTGTATTTATTTTTTATACGGCAGGTTCTTATTAGTTATCTATTTTATACATATTAGTGTATACATGTCAATCCCAATCTCCCAATTCATCCCACCACAACCCCCACCCCACCACTTTCCCCCCTTGGTGTCCATATGTTTGTTCTCTACATCTGTGTCTCTATTTCTGCCCTGCAAACCGGTTCATCTGTACCATTTTTCTAGGTTCCACATATATGTGTTAATGTACGATATTTGTTTTTCTCTTTCTGACTTACTTCACTCTGTATGACAGTCTCTGGATTCATCCATGTCTCTACAAATGACCCAATTTCGTTCCTTTTTATGGCTGAGTAATATTCTAAAAAATGGTAAATTTCATTTTATTTTAGTTTTTTTTTGAAGTATAGTTGATTTACAATGTTGTGCTAAATTCTGCTGTACAGCAAAGTGATTCAGTTATACATATATATACATTCTTTTTTAATATTCTTTTCCATTATGGCTTATCACAGGATACTGAATACACTTCTCTGTGCTATACAGTAGGACCTTGTTTATTATCCATCCTCTATCTAATAGCTTACATCTGCTGACCCCACCTACCACTCCGTCTCTCTCTCCCCCAACCTACTCCCCCTTGGCAACTACAAGTTTGTTCCATATGCCCATGAGTCTATTTCTGTTTCATAGGTAGGTTCATTTGTGTCATAGTTTAGATTCCACATATAAGTGATATTATATGGTATTTGTCTTTCTCTTTCTGACTTAGATCACTTAGTATGATAATCTCTGCATGTTGCATGTTGCTGCAAATGGCATTATTTCATTCTTTTTAACGGCTGAGTAGTATTCCATTGTATATATATATACCACATCTTCTTTATCCATTCATCTGTCGATGGACATTTAGGTTGTTTCCATGTCTTGGCTATTGTGAATAGTGCTGCTATGAACCTAGGGGTGCATGTATCTTTTTGGATTAATTTTTGTCTGGATACATGCCCAGGAGTGGGATTGCTGGATAATATGGTAATTCTCTTTTTAGTTTTCTGAGGAACCTTCATACTGTTCTCTATAGTGGCTGTACCAATTTACATTCTCACCAGCAGTGTAGAAGGGTTCCCTTTTCTCCACACCCTCTCCAGCATTTGTTATGTGTAGAGTTTTGTTTTGTTTTTTTAAAGACACTATTTTTGAGAGCAGTTTTAGTTTCACAACAAGGTTAAGAGGAAGGTACAGAGAGTTCCCATATTCTCCTGCCCGCACACATGCTTAGCCTCCCCCATCACCCCCCACCAGAGTTGTACATTTGTGACAATTGATGAACCTACGTTGACTCATCATAATCACCAAAAGTCCATAGTTCACATTATGGTTCAGTCTTTTTTTTTTAACATCTTTATTGGAGTATAATTGCTTTACAATGGAGTGTTAGTTTCTGCTTTATAACAAAGTGAATCAGCTCTTAGTGTTGTACATTCTATGGGTTTGGACAAATGTATAATGACATGTTTCCACCATTAGAGTATAACGCAGAGGAGTTTCACTGCCCTAAAATCCTCTGTGCTCTGTCTAGTTAACCTGTCCTACCCCTCCTCCATCCCTGACAATCACTGATTCTTTCACTGTCTCCACAGTTTTGCCTTTTTCAGATGTCATACAGATGGAATCATGCAGTAGGGAGTCTTTTCAGATTGACTCATTTCCCTTAGTAATATGCATTTAAGGTTCCTCCATGTCTTTTCATGGCTTGATAGCTCATTTCTGTTGTTTAAATTTTTATTGGAGTATAGTTGCTTTCCAATATTGTGTTAGTTTCTACTGTACAGCAAAGTGAATCAGCTGTTTATGTCAGAGAATGTTTTGCCTATGATCTCTTCTATAGGTCCTGACTTTTTCATTAAGCGTTTCTTTATGTGTTTCACAAATTTTTATTGAATTGCTGTTATTTTCTAGGTGTTGCTTAGGTGCCGGGTGGATAAAAGCTTTTGCCTTCAAGGAATGTACCTTCTTAAATGAGGGACAGAAAAGAAACAAGGGAAAGATCAAACAGGTGGCATGTCTGGTGGCAGTCGAGGACAGGAAGAGTAAGTAAAGCAATGGAAGGAAGGAGAGAGTGATGGACGTGCTCCAGGATGGGGTGGATCAGGGAAGACTTCTCAGAGGAGGTGACAGTGAATAAAGGTCTCACTCAACTCTCAAGAGGATGCAGTAGTAAATGAAAAGAGGGAAGATCTAGATTGAATAAGACTTGGGATTACTGATGTCTGTTACTAAAAGCCAATTTATTTCTTCAGACCTAGGAGTGGGTTAGATATATTATGGCTATTAAATCTTTATTAGCACTGGCATTTTAGAATATTGGACATATTTATTATCTCAAAATGCAGGCGTGTATATTTGTATGCACGTTCATTGGAATAAAAGGGGAAGAGTAATGTGTATGTGTGAATGCTTCCATGTAAGAAAGATTCATCTGGCCCTCCTGAAAGATTCCAGATCTTTCAAGAATCTTACACTCTCGCTGTATATTAAACACTAAAATAAAGGACCAACTTTAGTGCCGTGACATACAAGTATAGTCATACTCCTCCAAAGACTTTCCTATCACTTATAAGATTTTCACTTTGTAGTCCCCAAATTCAAGTCTAGGTTCATGTCCTTGATAATGTTTTCACAGTCAATCAACAAACAGCTGTATCAAATTTATTATGAGGTGATTTTTGACTCTGCTATTTCCTGCTAATCTCTGTTTTCCCTAATCAACACTTATCATGCTCATATTATGTTCCAGCTATTGACGGATTGAGGCCAGAGATGGAAGACAAAATCCCTATCCTGACAGAGGATCATTTCCTCTAGCAGGGGAAACGATCAACATGGCAGGACAGATGCTGTGGTGGATGGAGACAGTGCGAGGCGTGGAGAACAGGGGCCTGGGAAGGTGGCCTGTGAGGCCCCTAAGGTCCTCATGTTAAAAGGAGACAGGATATAAAGGACATGTTCCATAATTTAGTTAGCAATTTCCTTATTTGCTGTATATGATGTTTGCTTCTAATTTTTCATTGATATAAAATAGAAACAATTTCACTTCTAGGTGTATAACCCAAAGAATTGAAAGCAGGGACTCAAACAGATATTTGTACACTAGCTCTATTCACAATAGCCAAAAGGTAGAAACAATAAAAATGCCCAATAATGAACAAATGGATTAACAAAATGCTATATATATATATATATATATATATATTATTCAGCCTTAAAAAAGGAATGAAATTCTGATGCATGCTACAATATGAATGAACCTTGAAATATTATGCTAAGTAAAATAAGCCAGACACTGAAAGACAAATATTACATCGTTCCACTTATGTGAAGTACCTAGATTAGTCAAATTTAGAGACAGAAAATAGAATAGTGCTTACCAGGAGTTGAGGAGGGGGGGAATGGGGAGTTATTGTTTAATGGGTACAGAGTTTATGTTGAGAATGATGAAAAAGTCCTGGTGATGGTTGCTCGACAATGCGAACGTACTTAATGCCACTGACTGTGTGCCTAAAATTGGTTAAAATGGTAAATTTTTATGCATGTATATTTGATCACAGCTTTTTTTAAAAAAAAAGATAAGCTGAGATGACATGCCAATGTATATAGGAAAGGCATATATCCTAATATGTAATATAGATTTCCCAGAATTTGGATCATTTCTTTATTCTAGAACCCAGAAGAAATCTTACTGGATCAGAGTTTATGGCATTTCATAAATATCATCAAATTATTTTGTGAGAACAACTGCGCAAGTTTACCGTTCTCCCAGGTACATATACAAGCACTGATCTCATTATTCATATGCCAATCCCTATCCCTGATTAAAGGAAAGAAAATCGTTTTGAAAATTCACAGTACCAGTGACGAACTAAGCCTTGGGCTTAGGATCCACATTAAATTATAAGTAAAAATATGATGCCTTGTTTTAATATGCACTTCTTTATTAGTGAGGTTTATACTCTCTTGGTATCTTTTTTTTAAATTTTATTTTTATTTTTTTAACATCTTTGTTGGAGTATAATTGCTTTACAGCATTGTGTTAGGTTCTGCTGTATAACAAAGTGAATCAGCTATATGTATACATATGTCCCCATATCTCTTCCCTCTTGTGTCTCCCTCCCTCCCACCATCCCTATCCCACGCCTCTAGGTGGTCACAAAGCACCGAGCTGATCTCCCTGTGCTATGCGGCTGCTTCCCACTAGCTATCTATTTTACGTTTGGTAGTGTATATATGTCCATGCCACTCTCTTTTTGTTTACTGGATATATTTCCTATTGTGTGGGTTCCCTGGTTTCTTAGAGTATTTAAAAATCCATTTCTCACTTTAAGACAGCGTAGCAAAACACATATACAACAACAGGGTGTTTTAAAATTGAAGAATATTGGAGCAGAGGGAAACTAGTGGTAGGAAAATAAAATGAAGACAAGGTAAGTTATTGAATATGAAGTTTGCCAAGGAATCTGGCTGGAGGAAGGCGACACATTTGCCAATGAGTTTTCTGGAAGCCAATGGAAAAGAAGAGAGACAAGATCCGTAGTTTCATGAGCTCCGCCAACATCTTCTTGGTTGACACCACATTCATGCCCGCTATAGACTCTGAAACACGTTCTTCCCGTGGGTTCATATGCTAGACTGCATCAAAAATCACAGGAGCAATATTTTCCATCCCTTGTGATTTTGCAAAACATTTTCACTCCCACGCGAGAGGTGGAGTCTATTTTCCCCTCCCCTTCAACCTGGGCTGGCCTTGGGATGGCCGCCCTTGATTAACAGAACATGGCAGAGGTAAGGCTACCTGACTCCTGAAGCAAGGCCATCTGGGAAGGGCAACACAGCTTCCCCCCCGGGCTCTCTCTCCTGGGACAGATGCCTGAGAAGCCTAGAGTCCACCTGTGAAAAGTCTGGCCACCTTGAAGCGGCCATACTGTAGAGACCCTGTGTTGGAGATAAAGAGGCATATCCAATCAGATGGAGCTGAGCCGGGTGGAGAACAGCCATCCCTGCTGAGCACTGCCGGGGTTGCAGATTCATGAGCAAAAGTAAGTTTTGTTGGTTGCTTTAAGCCCCTGTGTTTTAGGGTGATTTGTTATGCAGCCGTAAGTAACTGCGACAGTTTATTTAAAGAGAATAGAGAAACTTCAGCAACGCTCTTCCTCGGGCGCTGCCTAAGGAGGTGGCAGCCATGTCCTACTCGGCATCGTGGCCACCCTCAGACCCCTCTTGGGGCCCAAGATGATCCAAAAAAAAAAGGACCAAGAAGTTCATCCGGCACCAGTCAGACCGATATGCCGAAAGTAAGCAGAACCGGTGGAAACCCAGAGCCATTGACAGCAGGGCGCATAGGAGATTCAAGGGCCAGATCTTGATGCCCAACATCGGTTACTGGAGTAACAAGAAAACAAAACACAGGCTGCCCAGCGGCTTCCGCATGTTCCTGGTCCACAAGGTCAAGAAGCCTGAAGTGCTGCCGATGTGCGACACATCTTACTGTGCTGAGATTGCTTGCAATGTCTCCTCCGAGAACTGCAGGGCCATGGTGGAAAGAGCAGCCCAGCAGGCCGTCGGAGTCACTGGTCCCAACGCCAGGCTGCGCGGCAAGAAAATGAATAGGCAGCCCGTGTGCACATTTTGTTTGTGTTAATAAAACCATAAAACTCAGCCGGAAAAACAAAACCAAAAAACCTTCAGCAACCATCTTTTACAGCATCAGTGTGCCAGACACACGTGGGGTCAAGAGCTGTTTTGTCAACGCTGCAGTCGGAAGCCACAGCGCCTATCAGTGGGCTTTGGAAACAAAGCAGTTTGAATGCCTTTGAACTTTCCTGCACGTTATCGGAAACACATGTGTCGCTTTTCTTAGCAGTATACTTACAATGTGCTCATAAATAATCTTGAGTACAGACAGATATTGAGAGTTTCTTCTTAAAGACCATTTAACTTTCATAGAGAACATCTTATGTAAAACAGTTTCCTGGTAGAGGCTTATATTTATTTAATGGCAAACTATAGGCTATTCTAGACTCTTTTTTTGATGAAGGACTCAGGTAAACCAGAAATAGATTCCAGATACCTGCTAAGTGCTCAAACCAGATTCCAGATACCTGCTAAGTGCTCAAACCATAATTCAAATCTATTATTCAAAAGATAGAGGAGTGTTTGGGAGGTTTTTTTTTTACATCTTTATTGGAGTATAATTGCTTTACAGTGGTGTGTTAGTTTCTGCTTATAACAAAGTGAATCAGTTATACATATACATATGTTCCCGTATCTCTTCCCTCCTGCGTCTCCCTCCCTCCCACCCTCCCTATCCCACCCCTCTAGGTGGTCACAGAGCACCGAGCTGATCTCCCTGTGTGTTTGGGAGGTTTGATTCTCTCTCGTCCCTCTGATTAATGCCATGGTTAAGCTCCCATGATTGGCAAGCTTTCCATGGATGGGACCCAAAGGAGGGCGAGAAAATCTGGGTCTACGCGGGAAAATTGTGACTGACTGAAGCTTTACATGGGACCTTTGCCTCCATGGTGCTATTTATTGCTCTACCAGAACTTCCACTGGATGGCAAATTCCTTTAGGAAAAGGAGACAGGTCTTACTACAGCCGTGGAAGCTGGCAGAGAGCCAGAATGTACCTAGCAGGCTGTTATCATCGTTAAGAATGTGAGCATGGACTCGGGGTCCAGAGAGCCTGTGTCTAAACCCCGCTGGTGCCACTCACTGGCGGAATAACTTCTGGCAAACTATTTAACCTCTCTGTGCCTCAGTTTCCTCCTCTATAAAAATAGGAATGCTCGCAAGGATTAAACGATTTAAAAGTCCCTAGAACAATGTGTGGCATAGAAGTGATAAATGTCAGCTGTTGCTGCTACTACTGCTACTTCTACTGTTACTACTACATATTAGTAATGGGCACCAGTGAAGTTTGTTGAGTGAATAAATGAGTGAATGAATGCCACTCTACTGTGTCCTAGATTTTCCCCTTTATGTTTCTGTAATTAAAAAAAAAATTATTTATTTTTTCAGCTGTGCCGGGTCTTAGTTGCAGCACACGGGATCTTTGTTGCTGCGTGTGGAATCTTTAGTTGCGGCGTGTGGGATCTAGTTGCCTGACCGAGGATCAAACCCGGTCCCCCTGCATTGGGAGTGCAGAGTCTTAACCACTGGACCACCAAGGAAGTCCCCTATGTATCTATAATTTTTCTACTTTCTAGCTCCATTTACCATAGTCTTTGAAGACCTCATCCTACCCAGGGCTACTGGACTCTTACACAGCCACAAGCTGAAGATTTGTCCATATAAATAGTTGGTTTGTTCACTGTTTGGCCTTCCAGAGCTCCAGGGCTCAGGTCCTCTTGTCCCTTCTGAACTTGATCTTTTCAATGAAACTTTCTTATTGTTCATTGTTCATGCATGGTAGGAATATATTTAAGAGTGCACGGAACACTCCCTTTTCTGCCAGCTGTTCAGACTTCCCTCTTAACTCACGTGGCATTCCTTGTTCTCATTCTTCCCGGATCCCTGCTCATTTGCCTCCATCAGTGGGTCACTGATATCCATTTCTCCATGTACATGCTTTGATCTGCTCTGTTCAACTTTCAGCTTGTACCCCTTGGGTCTTTTCTGCTCACCCCGACCTGCAGGCTGCAGACGCTGTGCCTGATTCCTCACCCTCGGGTGACCAGGTCAGCCAGTATGCCCTGACAGTTACACCACAAAGAGCTCTTAATCACACACCTCCAGGCCACCCTCCCAACATCCAATCCCATCAGGTCTGCAGACCCACCCCATCCCATCTGGTGAGCATTTATCTGAACCCTGCCCATCGTTTAGAGATACACACTGGAAAACACATTGCGTTTCTATCTCCTATGAAGAGTGCATTGTGTTTACTTAGCTGTCGGTCTGTTTCCTCGACTTATATTAAAAGCATTCTGATGGAAAGGATTGTAGGTCGTGTTGTATGCGGTGGAGGTTGTGTCTGTTGTAGATTTGTGTTCTAGGGTCTTGACATGAATCTCCCTCTTTTGTGGACTCAGGATCTGTTGGTGGAGATGAGTAGAGTGAAAAGTTAAGTTGTGGTTGAGTTTTTGTCATGTTTTGTCCATCTTTGTATCAGTCTGCTTAACACTTACTTGGTTTGCTCGTAGGTTTCCATTGTAAACAGAGCATTGGCGTGGGGGTCAGAAGACCTTGATTCATGCTTTAATTCCTTGGACAATTCGTTTCAGTTGAGTCTCAGTTGTCTAATTTGTAAGAGTAGGGCCATAATATCTCTCAGAATTGTTTCAGGGTTTAATGCAATCATTCTCATCAGGCTTACTGCTAGTCCAAAGGAGGGCTTTGTGAAAATGAGAAAAAGGTGTTCCCACATCCTGGCAGACACAGTTTTGTCCCAGGATGTGCCCTTTGTGAGTGGAATGTGATCTATGTTCCCCACACATCCTCTTAGCTGGGGGGATGCCCTGGTATAGAGCTGTGTGCAGAGACTCCACGACTTTTGAAAGTGTAGTTTGTAATGATAAAATGTCACACATGTATTGGGAATTATTATTTATTATAAGTTCTGTTTCTCAGACCCTATCCTATCTATCTGCCTATCTATCTATCTATCTACCTACCTACCTATCCATCCATCCATCCGTCCATCGTTCTTTCTGTATATCTATGTATCTCTATCTACATATGGATGTGTGGATGTGTGGATGTATGGATGTATCTATCTCTCTATCTCCATCCATTTAATCATTCCACCTCTTTTCACAAAGGATTTGAGGTGGCATTGATTAAATTACAGAATCACAGCTAATATTTGCATACTGCTTTTTCATTGATCTAAATTACTTTATGTCATCTTTATAAGGGTCTTATGGGGGGAGTATCCTGTCTGTCACTTTACAGATGGGCTGGCTGGGTCTCAGACACACATAAGAAATGTCGGACTCAGGACGGAAGCCCAGATTTCTGGTTTATACCCATGTTATTTTACCAGTATCATGCCATCCAATCTGCTTGTCACTATGATAAAGGACCATATGACAGAACTATTTTTTATTTTCTGTACTAGATCTCAAAAATTGGAACTGCTCTTCAGTAACTGAAACTGAAGAAAGATCAACATCTATTATTATGAACACAACAGAGACCTACAGAATTGGTTTTCTCTTGGTTTCTGTACTGCCTCTAGATGTTAGGGAGTTTAATTTAATTTCTACGTGAGAGAAGCAGCACATTCAACCAAAGGTATGTGGAGGACATAGAAATGAGATAGGCTTAAAAAGGACTCAGATAGCCAGAGGAAAGGCAGAAAAAGACAACGATACCTACAGCTTAAGTAATTACTCACATCATTTATTGTGGCTACTGTATGTTGCTGTATAAATATATCACATACGATCTTATACAAAGGGGATTTCTATAAGAAGTATTATGATTAAACACAAGTGGATTTCAGATAAATCTCATACATCCGTTTCATATCTCCCTTTGTTACAGGATTTCAAAATCCTTGTGAAACACTAAGGAAATGAAACAAATCTAGCCTCTTATCAAACGAGCAAGCGTATTGCATTGATGGTTATAAGACCCAGGAGCACAGAGGTATTTTAAAATTGCATGTATGCCTCTCAGAACCACAACCCTGGGCTTCAGAAATCACCCACTGTTAGATATTTTCTTAGAAAAGATGCGTTTCCATGATTCCTTTGACTGTAATTACTCATATAGTTTCAACCTCATTCTTATTGTTCAGAGTAAGAATTGTATTTTTTATTTCAGTGATATCAGATTTGGGGAAACGTCACAAAGTAAAACTGATCTATTTCCATAATTCTAGGCCTTGGGTATTTCCCCCCCCCCCAGAGGATGAAGGTAATGGTTACCACCTCATCCCGGGAAAAATACCAAGTCAAGTGGCTTTCAGAACAAAGAGACCCTGGGCTTCACGTGACTGCTGTTGAAGTACAGGGAGAAAGAGATTGGCCCCTTCTTGTAGCAGGACAAACACCCACACTCTAGTCTAAATTTGTCACTGGTGTCTCAGGAGACATGATGTGATTTGTGGCAACACTGAGTCCAGATTACAGAGAGCAAGAGAGCCCATATGGTGCTTGGCATTTCAGCAAGAAACGTGAGTTAGATAGGAACTTATTGATTTTTTTTTCCTTTTTACAGCAAATTTAGAAAGTATATTGAAATAAATAACAATGTAAATACCACGTAGTAAAACTTCAGGGATACAAAAAGTTGCTTGCAGAAAGCAGCTCAAACAATCTGTTGAGGCACATTGAAAGCCTTAAGTTCTCATATTAGAAAAAGAAACACTGAAAAATTTTTAACCTACACTTTTTTTCTAATTTTTTTCCCCCAATCTCCCAATTCATCACACCGCAACCCCCATCTCCCGCCCCTTTCCCTCCTTGGTGTCCATAATGTTTGTGGAATTTATTGATTTTAATCTCAAATAATTCTCATGGAATTCTTTTGAGGATATAAGGGAGCTTTAGGGTAGTTTAATCCATTTTTGTTTTCTATGAAGAAATTGGCTCCAGAGTGCTAAGATGAATAACACCAAAACCAAGGCCTTCAGGACACCAGCCAGGAAGTCCCTCACCCACCATTCAACCACTTTCTTCCTTCTTCAAGGTGA